CAGTGTCACCTCATCACCTTTTAGAATACTCTCATTTTCATTTTCCTCCCAAATTATCTCTTTCTGGCCTGTAATTATACTCCTTCAGGCCTCCTTAATTTTTCCTTCACGGATGTTTCACTTATTTTTTTCCATTCCTTCAGTCTTCTGTAGCAAAGTGTTATTTCTTCTTGTCTCTGCAAACTTCACCTGTAAAACTTCCCCTGTGGACTTCCTGATTCCCCATATGTGTTTAGGATTCCACTACTGGAATCTCCCATTGATTCCCTTCTACACTTACTGAAATTCATCCATGGTGTAACTCCATTGCCCTTTGTGACACAAAGTCATTGGTGCCAGCTGGCAAACATTTCAATACTCTGTGTCAGCCCCTCCTATCAGGCTTGACAAACTCACCACACCCAACATGCTGCTTTCACAGTACTTATCCCAAAAAAATCTTCTGTTAGGTATGAAATGAAAGCCCATGACACACTGATCATCAACACTGTTGTGAATAATATGTACTGACACTGTATAAGGGATTGTGGAATATCTTGACTTTAGTAAGGCTTTGATACAGTCTCGCATGACCGTCTCATAAACAAACTAGGGAAATACAACCTAGATGGAGCTACTATAAGGTGGGTGCATAACTGGATGGAAAAACATTCCCAGAGAGTAGTTATCAGTGGTTCACAGTCAAGCTGGAAGAACATCGTGAGTGGGGTCCCACAGGGACCAGTTCTGGGTCCGGTTCTGTTCAATATCTTCATCAATGACTTAGATAATGGCATAGAGTGGAGTACACTTATAAAATTTGCAGGTGCTACCAAGCTGGGAGGGGTTGCAAGTGCTTTGGAGGATAGGGTTAAAATTCAGAATGATCTGGACAAACTGGAGAAATGGTCTGAAGTAAATTGCATTTGTCCTTATTGAATTTCATCCTATGTAATCCACTTGGGAAGGAACAATCAGTTGCACACATACAAAATGGGAAATGACTGTCTAGGAAGGAGAACTACAGAAAGGGCTCTGGGGTCATAGTGGATCACAAGATAAATATGAGTCAACAGTGTAACACTGTTGCAAAAAAAAAAAAAAAAGAAGCAAACATCATTCTGGGATGCATTAGCAGGAGTGTTGTAAGCAAGACACAAGCACTAATTCTTCCACTCTACTCTGCACTGATTAGGCCTCAACTAGAGTATTGTGTGCAGTTCTGGGTGCCACATTTCAGGAAAGATGTGGACAAATTGGAGAAAGTCCAGAAAGGAGCAACAAAAATGATTAAAGGTCTAGAAACATGACCTATGAGGGAAGATTGAAAAAATTGGGTTTGTTTAGTCTGGAGAAGAGAAGACTGAGAAGGGACATAACGGTTTTCAAGTACATAAAAGGTTGTTACGAGGAGGAGGAAGTAAGATTGTTCTCTTTAACCTCTGAGGATAGGACAAGAAGCAATGGTCTTAAATTACAGCAAAGGCAGTTTAGGTTGGAAATTAGGAAAAACTTCCTAACTGTCAGGGTGTTTAAGCACTGGAATAAATTGCCTATGGAGGTTGTGGAATCTCCATCACTGGAGATTTTTAAGAGCAAGTTAGACAAACACCTGTCAAGGATGGTGGAGATAATACTTAGTCCTGCCATGAGTGCCGGGGACTGGACTAGATGACATCTCAAGGTTCCCTCCAGTCCTACAATTCTATGATTTTATGTTGAAATTATGTTTTAAAGTCTGTAACAAGGCAGAGAGCACAGAAAGGTTTTCTGCCAGACAAAAGCATGTCTATTTACCAATCCCTGTTTCTCTCATGTAAATTAAGCATTATAAAGCCAGCACAATGGAGCCCCATTTACACGTGAAGTCAACAGAGGGGACTTTGAAGAAAAACAGATTGATGGGGGGAGGGGAGGGGAGGAGGAGGATGTGAAACCAACAGAGGGGAGCATACCAGAGAACGAACAGTGAGGGAGACTTCAAAAAGGGCATTTCAAAAGTTTACTGGACTATAAGAGAAAGGGCAAAAGGACCTCTTTGCTTCCCCAGTGAAGGATAAGAAAAAGGACAGTGCTTTTTGCATTTATGAAAGTTGGGTATTGGCCATGTGGGTTAGTGATGCTGGGAGGTTTCTTTAGGTGAGAAATTACTTTAGAAAAGGATTTTAGCTTGTTAGAGTTAAGTTTAGTCTCTAAGAAGTTTCTTTGGAGGCAGCCTACCTGGCCATTTTCTGTGACTGGCTAGTGACAGGCACTGGATACTACAGAAGGGGATGCTGGCAGAAGGACTTGGGGATTGGTATATCTGTCACTAGCCTGCACAGGAGATGGTGAGGTCTGTGGAGACCTGGAAGTCAGAATTGTCTGTGGCTAGAAGCTGTTGGTTGAGCTACAGCAAGCATCAGACAAGACTGCTTCATGATAAGGGCAGGTGGTGGTGGTGGTATAGTGCCTCACAGCCCCGAGTACCACTGTGGAACATCGCAACCTTAAATCAAATGTGAATTTGATCCATTTTTGTGTGTTCTTGTTATTCCCGTCAGTTTTTGAGTTTCCTAATTCCTTTTTACATGCAAATGGATTATCCTCTGTATAAAGAGGATACCTGGGCAGTTCAGCCATTTGGAGTTTTGCTGTTGATTTGCCAACCTATTTAGTAGAGATGACCCTGGATTCAAACCTCAGATACCAAATCTTCAGAATAAAGTGAAGTGTGAAGCTGCATTTGGATCCTTGAACTTCACAGATCAAGCTCCTCTCTTAATAGTTAACTGTCACAAAACTAGAATAAACTTTCCCCCGCGCTTTTACAAAGCAGCAGGAACTGATTAAATTACTAAATCAAAATAAGTAATTTTTTTGAGCCTTTGGAAGTGATTAAAATCTTTGAGAAGGCAGCCTTTTCTTTCACATGTCGTTCTGTATCATACCTACCAAGGAGATATTCAGAAATACATTATTGCTGTTGCTCGTTATAGTAAATTCTCTTCATGATAACATTTTTATTTATTTCATGCATTATTGATTGCATTGGGTTTGAGATAATGTAAAAGCACCAGTTCTCTGTAAATCATTTTCTGGGAGTAAAACATAATATTAAACAAGAGGCAAAGAAAAATCTCAAATAAATACTCATCTTCAGGTCATGGCTGTTCTTCAGAAAATCTCATGAATATGCAAGGACATTTTTCCTAAATCAGTGACAATGCCTTCCAAATTGTCCACTAAATGTTTTTATATAAAAGACTAAATTGAAGAAGTAAACCCACGTTTTAATATTGTGTCTGGAGGTTTTTCTCCAGCTTGTTTCTGCTTCTGCAGAGAATTCCTGTCAGCCTTGAATTTCTTTCATTTACTGTGACAAATGATGCCTTGCTGTGTTTTCTGCCGCTAGTCTCCATGGGATTACAGATCACGTGCCTACAGCAGCTTAATGTACTTGACCTTTTCATATGATTGACACAGCTAAATGATTGCAGCAGAGCAGAATTATCCAGTAGCTATGTTATGTTCATTTCCAGGGGAAAAGAAAACACATTTGGTGTTAACAATCTGAGAAGTATATATTTATATATCTCAGAAGAAAACACAGCTTCCTAAATATCCCAGTCATGTGACATAACCGAATAATAGCACAATAAATCATTTCAAAGATGGCAGTGTATCACTTGTATCATGAAATGGGACAAACATCAGAAAAGAATCTGTCATGACTTACTACATGCTTTAGCCTCCTAAATTCACTTACCAGAATATTTCCTATTAAGTGAATTCAGGAGGCTAGAGTGTGTAATAAGAGTTGACAGATTTCTTTCCCATGTTTGTTCCCTTTCGTGATTCATAGAATCATAGAACTGGAAGGGACCTTGAGAGGTCATCTAGTCGGTCCCCTTCACTTAAGGCAGGACTAAGTCTTATCTAGACCAGTGTTTCCCAAACTTAGGATGGCGCTTGTCTAGTATTATCTAGACCAGTGTTTCCCAAACTGGCAGGCCCAGCCGGTTTGTTTACCTGCCGTGTCCACAGGTTCGGCCGATCGCGGCTCCCACTGGCCGAGGGACGTACTGGCCGCCCTTCCCGCAGCCTCCATTGGGCCAGTGGGAGCCGCGATCGGCCGAACCTGCGCACGTGGCAGGTAAACAAACCGGCTGGGCCCTCCAGGGGCTTTCCCTGAACAAGCGGCCTCCCAAGTTTGGGAAACACTGATCTAGACCATCCCTGACAGGTGATACAATGCATCCGATGAAGTGAGCTGTAGCTCACAAAAGCTTATGCTCAAATAAATTGGTTAGTCTCTAAGGTGCCACAAGTATTCCTTTTCTTTTTGCGAATACAGACTAACACGGCTGCTACTCTGAAACCCGTCAGAATGCTACATTATCTATCTTTGAAATGATTTACCGTGCTATTATTCTATTGTGTCATATAATTGAGATATGTGAATCTGTGGGGCTTGATCAGCAAAATTGGATTTCTTAGGCTCAGCAGCCAAGGACTATAGGTGTAGTGGTCAGATAGACGTTGTTAATTTTTTTTTAATGAAATATCAGTAGAAATAAAACCAGTCTAAGCTACCCATTAATTATTTGTAAATAGGGCACACAAAGTATGTTATGGAAGTGCAGGGATTTTGTTGTATACATTCTGTGTCCTGTCATCATGAACTTTTTGGCAAAATTTCCATTGACTTCACAGAGAGTTCTGCATATGGATGGTTGGCAGGATTTGGTGCATGCATGGTTTCAACTTGCATAAAACTCCAGCACAAACAAATCAGAGTAATTTCATTAAGCATGTAATTCAAGAAGATCCATCTATCTTTCTACTGTTAATTTACAATACACCCCAAATTTATCTTTCTCTCTATATAAATCTCTAGGGGATTCGTCATTGTAGCATCAGAGATTCAGCACTGGGATTTTCTCCTGTATCAATAAATTGTGTATCGGTGACACTTCAGTATTATAATAGGACATTGTATCTTGCCATCTGCACTTTTTTAACAGTAACTTTCTTTGTAGGTCACCGAACATTGTTCATTGGAGTTCATGTGCCACTAGGTGGAAGAAAAAGTCACCGACGTCATAGACACCGTGGACACAAACACAGAAAGAGAGACAGGGAACGAGATTCAGGATTAGAGGATGGGAGAGAGTCTCCTCCTTTTGGTAAGGTTTATTTCTTCTTGCTGGAACTTTGAACAGTAAACATCAATACGACAATGTATACTTCTCCTCCTCTTATATTTTAGTCAGTATTGACAATAGGGCTTTGAGATTGCAAGCCAAAGCCTTTCAGGTCTGTTCTAAAAATCTTTTGAAGTTTCCTCCGATTGTGTTTAAGTTTAGGGGATGAATAAATGAAAATACTTACTTTTAGTAGTGTTGTAGCATTCTAGAGCATTTATTTGGAGATAGGCACTTTATATAGATGGATGGAAACTATTGGTGCTGGGGAATTGGCTACTGTAAAATGTAGCAAGACCGCGTAATGTAGTGCTAATATTGAAATAGAGGGCCTGCTCCTGAACTATTGCGAATTTACACCAGCCTAATCTGATCCAGAGTCTATATCTTGCCTCTGTCCTTACATGACATTGTAAAGTGTAAATGTATTGTGACATAGGTCATATTGTGAGATCAGCCTCGGTGTCTAGCTAAGGATCATGCCCTGTTTTTTTGTTGTGAGAGGGGCTGGAACAAGAATGAATGCAAGGGGGAATACAGGCATTTATGTGGGGAAATGTGATATTTATCAAATATTTCTAGTATGAAAGGATCTCAGCCACCCTCCCACACCAAATGTATTGAAAAGGGGAAGAAAAGTGGGTACTCCCATATGTGTGTTTTGACATATGCCCTCATGCATACATCTGGATGACAACTAACTGGGGACTTGGGAGAGAGGAAAAAGCTAGCAAAACAAACCGCTCATACTAAATGGAAACCATATCATAGTGTAGCACAAAAGAATATTTTTAGTTCATTGGGGAAATGTAAGTGCCAGTGTAATTTTAGGTTGCAAACTAGTCATTACGAGATCCTTTATTTTAGACTGAATTTTAAATTATCTGTGCGGAAAGCTTTGAAGCAGTGTATTACAAGTGGTGAAGCTATAAGTCTGTATAAAAGAAGTTGATTTACTCAAATCTTTCACAGTCATATATACCAGGGATGAAAAAGCAGAAAGATAAGAGTGTGTTTCTTAAATTCAGTAGGAAAATAGAGGATTAAGAATTGAAGAATTAATATTGATGAAGAAAAATGGATGAGCTGACTTGGTTTGGAATGTATTTGTTACCACAAGAGCATATAGTGTATATATAGATACACTTAAAATGGATTTGTATGGATTTGTATATTTCAAATCTATGAAAAACATGCATTATTAATACAAATGTATTTGTTTTTTACCATGATTAATATTTTAAGGCATAGTAAGAGAAATATTTTTTCAAACAACCTTTCTTTAAAAAATAGAGTTCAAAGTTGTTTAAAATGTTTTAAAGAAAGAACTTCTGCATACATAATGTTGTATATTTTTAATAGATAAACACTGAAAGCTTATGTTAACTAAGAGGCCACATTTTCAAAAGTGGTCAGGACCCAACAGCTCCCAGTCAGTTTCCTAATTTCATTTAGGTGCATAAATGGGAGCTAGATTTGCTGAAAAGTTTGCCCAGGCCCTTCCACCCCAAAACATCTAGCTTTGTGTCCTTTCCTATATCACAAGTAAAAAAATAGAGTTTTAGTTTTATCCTTACACCCTTTGATGTGCACATCACAAAATGCCACTCTTTGGCACAATTCAGCATAAGTGACAGTGAGTCTCTGTTCTGCAGAGGCAAAAGAGTGGAATAGCAATCCAGATTAGGCATATTACATGTGGCTACCTTTCTCCTGATGCCTAAGGAATCTGTGTCAAACCTCTGATTTTAGAGGAAATCCTCTTATGCTAAAGTCATTCTCCTAATTATAAGTGGTGTTGCCTAGATTACTCAGGGTATGTCTACACTACGAAATTAGGTCGAATTTATGGAAGTCAATTTTTTTAGAAATTGATTTTATACAGTCGATTGTGTGTGTCCCCACTTAAGACCATTAAGTCGGTGGAGTGCATCCACAGTACTGAGGCTAGCATCGACTTCCGGAGTGTTGCACTGTGGGTAGCTATCCCACAGTTCCCGCAGTCTCCGCTGCCTATTGGAATTCTGGGTTGAGATCCCAATGCCTGAAGGGGCAAAAACATTGTCGCGCGTGGTTCTGGGTACATGTCGTCAGGCCCCACCCCCATGAAAGCAGCAGCAGACAATCGTTTTGGCCTTTTTTCCTGGGTTACCGTGCAGATGCCATACCACGGCAAGCATGGAACCCACTCAGCTCATCGTCATCGTACGTGTCCTGGGTGCTGGCAGACATGGTACTGCACTGCTACAGAGCAACAGCTCATTGCCTTGTGGCAGCAGACAGTGCAGTACAACTGGTAGTCGTCGTCATCTCCTGGGTGCTCTTGGCCGACCTCAGTGAGGTCAGTCGGGGCGCCTGGGAAGACATGGGTGCTCCTGGCAGACCTCAGTGAGGTCTGTCAGGGGTGCCTGGACATAAATGGGAGTGACTCCAGGTCATTCTCTTCTTAAGTTTCGTCTCATGGAGTTTCAGTCTGCCTGGAAACAATGAAGGCTACAGTTGTACTGCACTGTCTGGTGGCGAGCACCCAGGAGATGATGATGGCTAGCAGTCATACTGCCCCATCTGTTGCCAGGCTACCCCTTGCTCTCCCCTCTCTCCCTCTGTGAAAGCAACAGCCGACAATAGTTTCCCTTCTTTTTCCATGCGGGCACCATATTGCTGTCAGCATTGTCATCCACCCGCCGCTTCCGCTGCCACTCCGCTGCTCTCCTGCTCTCCTGCAGATGCCATACCACGGCAAGAATGGAGCCCGCTCAGATCACTTTGGCAGTTTTGAGCATTGTAAACACCACGCGCATTATCCAGCAGTATATGCAGAACCAGAACCTACAAAAGCAGGTGAGGAAGTGATGGCAGCGTGGTGACGAGAGTGATGAGGACATGGACACAGACTTCTCTCAAAGTACAGGCTCCGGCAATTTGGACATCATGGTGGTAATGGGGCAGGTTCATGATGTGGAACGCTGATTCTGGGCCTGGGAAACAAGCACAGACTGGTGGGACTACATAGTGTTGCAGGTCTGGGACGATTCCCAGTGGCTGCGAAACTTTCGCATGTGTAAGGGCACTTTCATGGAACTTTGTGACTTACTTTCCCCTGCCCTGAAGCGCAAGAATATCAAGATGAGAGCAGCCCTCACAGTTCACAAGCGAGTGGCAACAGCTGCCTGGAAGCTTGCAATGCCAGACAGCTACTGGTCAGTCGGGAATCAATTTGGAGTGGGCAAATCCACTGTGGGGGCTGCTGTGATCCAAGTAGCCGACACAATCACTAAGCTGCTGCTATTAAGGATAGTGACTCTGGGAAATGTGCAGGACATAGTGGATGGATTAGCTGCAATGGGATTCCCTAACTGTGGTGGGGTGATAGACGGAACCCATATCCCTATCTTGGCACCGGACCACCAAGGCAGTGAGTACATAAACCGCAAGGGGTACTTTTCAATAGTGCTGCAAACACTGGTGGATCACAAGGGACGTTTCAGCGACATCAACGTGGGATGGCCGGGAAAGGTACATGACGCTCGCATCTTCAGGAACTCTGGTCTGTTTCAACAGCTGCAGCAAGGGACTTTCTTCCCAGACCAGAAAATAACTGTTGGGGATGTTGAAATGCCTATAGTTATCCTTGGGGACCCAACCTACCCCTTGTTCCCATGGCTTATGAAGCCACACACAGGCAGCCTGGACAGTAGTCAGGAGCTGTTCAACTACAGGCTGAGCAAGTGCAGAATGGTGGTAGAATGTGCATTTGGACGTTTAAAAGTGCGCTAGCGCAGTTTACTGACTCGGTTAGACCTCAGTGAAAACAATATTCCCATTGTTATTACAGCTTGCTGTGCACTCCACAATATCTGTGAGAGTAAGGGGGAGACGTTTATGGTGGGGTGGGAGGTTGAGGCAAATCGCCTGGCCGCTGATTACGCGCAGCCAGACACCAGGGCGGTTAGAAGAGTACAGGAGGGCGCAGTGTGCATCAGAGAAGCTTTGAAAACCAGTTTCATGACTGGCCAGGCTACGGTGTGAAAGTTCTGTTTGTTTCTCCTTGATGAAAACCCGCCCCCTTGGTTCACTCTACTTCCATGTAAGCCAACCACCCTCCCCTCCCCACTTCAATCACCACTTGCAGAGGCAATAAAGTCATTGTTGTTTCAAATTCATGCATTCTTTATTAATTCATCACACAAATAGGGGGATAACTGCCAAGGTAGCCCGGGAGGGGTGGGAGAGGAGGGAAGGACAAGGCCACACTGCACTTTAAAACTTACTGAATGCGAGCTTTCTGTTGCTTGGGCAGTCCTCTGGGGGTGGAGTGCTTGGGTGCCCAAAGGCCCCCCCACCTTGTTCTTGGGCGACTGGGTGAGGAGGCTATGGAACTTGGGGAGGAGGGCAGTTGGTTACACAGGGGCTGTAGTGGTGGTCTGTGTGCCTGCCTTTCCTGCAGCTCAACCATATGCCGGAGCATATCAGCTTGATCTTCCAGTAGCCTCAGCATTGCCTCCTACCTTCTGTCAGCAAGCTGATGCCACCTGTCATCTTCAACCCGCCACCTGTCCTCACGTTCATATTGTGCTTTTCTGGACTCTGACATTGCTTGCCTCCACACATTCTGCTGGGATCTTTCGGTGTGGAAGGACTGCATGAGCTCAGAGAACATTTCATCGTGAGTGCTTTTTTTTGCTTTCTAATCTTTGCTAGCCTCTGGGCCGGAGATGAGTGTTGAAACATTTGCAGCTGTGGAAGGGAAAAAAAGGGAGAGTAGTAGTTAAAAAGACACATTTTAGAGAACAATGTGTAGACTCTTTCACGGTGAACCTTGCTGTTAACATTACATAGCACATGTGCTTTCGGTACAAGGTCGCATTTTGCCTCTTATATTGAGGGTCTGCCGGTTTGGTGTGAAAGATCACACATGCAGGGCCGGGTAACAGAATTCGGCTTGCAGACAGCCATGGTAAGTCACGGTCTTTTGGCTTCAT